TTTCTTTTTGTTGAAACGCAACCTTTTATTTAGTGGGGGGGGGGGGGTAAAATATTTGAATAGATCATTGGTAACTTAATTCGAACCTTAGTCAATTAAGGTTCCTTCAACCCTTCACCCGGTGTTTATCACCGGGTGAAGGGTTGAAGGAACCTCAATTGACCAAGGTTCGAATTCAGTTACCAATGATCTATTCAAATAAATAATATATAATTAAATAAATAAAGGTTGCGTTTCAACTTTCGTGCCACTATTTCCTTGATCCTTCCTCAACTAGACTGGGATTAAATTACAAACATAATAATCATTAATTAATAAATAATATAATATGAAGGCTTTTGACAATTTATTAAGATTCAAACAATAAACTTTTTATTACAAAATTAAAGTTTTGTCCCACTGTCAGATTACAAACAAAGCCCACATCCATTAATGTTGACCAAATCATGTGAATTAAACTGCTAGTGCTAGTTAATAATAAATATTTGAAAAGGCCAAACGCCCAAAACTAAGTAATAAAATAATAATATATAAAATCCATAGTGACCGAATCCAACGTGGTGAAACAATTCATTTTCACCATTAAAATATTAAAAAGCAAAAACAAAAAAGTAACGCTTTTGTCTGAATCAAGGCATAAACGCGTTTTACAGCAGCCAATCAACAGTGACCAATTGTCCAACTACCGCTTTTTGCCACTACTATATATACCCCTCTCCCACACCACTTTCTTCTCATCAAATTCAAATCAAACTCCATTTCAATATCTCATACATATTTCAAAATTTGATAAAAATAAAAATAAAAATAAAATAAAAATGAAAAGCTTCATTTTCTCTCTCATCGGCATCGCAATCTTGTTCGCGATAACGAACAACATCCCCGTAAGCGAAGCGCAGCTCTCCGCGACATTCTACAACAGCAGATGCCCTAACGCGGCTAACATTATCCGAAACTCCATCCGAAGAGCCATTTCGCGAGAGAGGCGCATGGCGGCCTCGCTCATCCGCCTCCACTTCCACGACTGCTTCGTTCAGGGCTGCGACGCTTCGATCTTATTGGACGAGACACCTTCCATTCAATCCGAGAAAACCGCTTTCCCTAATATCAATTCCGCACGTGGCTACGAAGTGATCGAAGCCGCCAAGGCCGAAGTTGAACGTGCATGCCCCGGTGTCGTTTCTTGTGCCGATGTACTAACCCTAGCTGCTCGTGATGCCTCCGTTGCTGTAAGTATATATACATTTTACATCTATATATATATAATGATATAATTAATAATCTCATGATTAAATTAATTAAGATCATAATTAATTAATTAAAATTTTAAAAAAATATAGGTTGGTGGGCCATCATGGAGTGTGAGGCTCGGACGAAGAGATTCAACTACCGCTAGTCGTTCGCAGGCGAATATTGATCTTCCGAGTCCGTTTGTCGGTCTCGATGCACTTATTTCTGCTTTCGATATCAAGGGACTTACTGCAAGAGACATGGTTGCTCTATCTGGTAATTAATTACATTAATTAATTATTCTATTAATAATTAATTTTATGTTAATTAATTACAAAAAATGAGTAATTTATTAATAAATAAATATAGTGTTTGAACGAATGAATGAATGTGCAGGAGCGCATACACTAGGTCAAGCACAATGCTTCTTGTTCCGGGGAAGAATATACAGCAACGGAACCGACATAGACGCCAACTTCGCCAAAGAAAAAAGACGAAGATGCCCTCAAACCGGCGGCGATTCTAATTTGGCGGCGCTTGATTTGGTGACACCGAATTCGTTCGACAACAATTATTACAGGAACATTGTGCAGAGAAAGGGTCTTCTCCAGACGGATCAAATACTTCTAAGCGGATCGACGAGCGCCATTGTTACCGATTACAGCCGAAACCCTAGAACTTTCGCAGCGGATTTCGCGAGGGCTATGATTAAAATGTCGGAGATTCAGCCCCTTGTCGGACAAGCTGGAATCATCAGAAGGGTTGCAGCGCAATCAACTAGTTCATTCATTAATAATTGTA